TCTCTCCTCTCCTCTTCTCTTCTCTTCTCTTCTCTACTCTTCCTTCCTCACCATCTCTCTACCCAGTAGGGGAAGGAGTAGAAGCTCCTCCACTTTTGCTCCCGCCTCTCGAGCTACACGAGTACTACGAGATGTAGCTCGAAGAGTTAGAGAGAAGAAACTGTCTTTTCCGGCATTCGTAGGAGGACTCTCGAGAAGCCTCCTACAAAACGGGTTGCCCCGTTCGCTCCTCCGCTTCCCCATCTTCGACCCTCGCCCCCTTCGGCCTTCAACCGTGCTCCTTCGAAACCGCCACCCCCTTCCGCCTCTCTTCCTTCCTTTCATCCCTCTCATCCACCCTCCCCCTCTCCCTTTCTCTTTCCACCACCCTCTTTTCTCCTCCTCCTCCCTCTACTACTACGCTTTGTGTCGCGTGCACGTGTGTGTGTGTGTGTGTGTGTGTGTGTGTATGTCGCGGCACGACGTCGATGTAGCGCTGTCATTGGCTCGTTCTACGCCGCCATATTTACATTTTTATTGAAAGCTACAAGTCTGCGTCGGTGAGTGATGGCCACGGGGATGAGCACACGCTTTCTCCCTCTACCCATCCCTCCCTCCCGCGCGTATCCAACCCGGTCCGCGGATGATACGAGGGCGAGGTGGAGGGTGGACGAGCGGATACGCGGAGGGAGGCGAGGGGAGGGGATGGGGCGGCGGGTGGAGGGGTTAGCATTCAATTACCTCGGATTTCCTCGGCAAGAGGCGATTCACCTCCGCGTGTATGCCATCTTCGAGGGGTGGGAGGGAGGGAGGGGAGGGGAGGGAGGGAGGGCGAGATTGCCAACGGATGTAACGGGGCAAGGCGGCAAGTTTGCCCGAAATATTACGACAATATATACCCGAACGTACGGGTACGAGTCGCTGATTCAGAGGCATCGATTGCGCCGGATAGGCGTTGTACGAGATTGTAGATGGCCGGGAGGATATTTTGGTTTGGAGATGGAGCGGAGAAGAGGGTAAATTGGGAGGGTTTCGAGTGTATCGTTGGATTAGATATTTTTGAATCATTGGGATGTTATCTATGTTAATCTTGTTGTTATAATCGGTTGTGTGGTAATCCAATATTTTGAATATTCGTTTAATATATGGGATAAGATTTTATTTACGATATTTACTTCACTTCACTGAAATGTATTTACGATATGTATATTTTTTTCGATACAACAATTAGAACGAGGTGATTGAGCTTGTTCGATAAAAATAATTTGAATTTAAAGAAGTGAAATATTCACATTTCTTTTTTATAAATATCGTGATATTTATTTGTTGTCGAAAGAATAATGTTTCCAATATTAACGTTTCTAACTTTCTATTAAATGGGGAGGGATGAAATAGAAGTTGGCGGAAAAGAACTTCTTTCTTTCGTTCGAGAAGCAAGGCGAGCATTTAATATTCCGAGCATTTCGCTGGCGTCTTGGTAAACGAAAAAAAAGAAAAGAAAAAAAAAAAAAGATAAGAAGGGGAGAGAAAGGGTTGGAATAAGCAGCGGCTGGAAAAAGAAATTAAAAATAAGGAAACACGGGGATCGGGAGCTTAAAGCTAATGATCAAGATATAATTAGCAAAACAGGTGGTGAAAGGAGAAAGTTTCTGGAAAATTTTCCAGAAAACTTTCCAATTATTTATTATTCTCCAACTCTAATATAAAATTACTTGAAACGAGTTAAAATCGCCGGGGAAACAAAACAATTGTCGTTTGATAGAATTGGAGAATTATTAAAAAAAATCGAAATATCGAAGTTTTGTTAAATTTAGAACGAAGATTCTATTTTTGAAGAATTGTTGAAAAAGAATAAAATTCAGCACAGACTTTTGTTTGAAACTCTGATGTTTTATTCGAAAATTTAAAATTAAGAAAAAAAGGAGAGGAAAAAAAAACATAATATAAAATACCTTTTTAATAATTTTTTAATAAATAAATGAAAAAGGAAGGATCGAACTTTTATTGTATAGGGAAAATCAACGTGATACGAAGATCGTTCCGTTTGATACACTACCGAAACAGTCTTTCGTAGCGAACTTTGCTCGTTGTGTCGCGTATTACATTCTCACTTTGTGCTTTCTTCGATGTCAGCTGGTAGATAACAGGAATATATTGTCCCCTCTTTATTGTTAAATGCTCGAAAGAAATAAGATATGGAAGATTCTTTCGCAATATCGAGTGGGGAACAAACGATTATTTCTTACGAAAAAATAGCCTACTTTATATAA